TAGCTAAAACTGTATTCTTATGTGTCAGAAAACGACGGGCGTCCACACTACCGTAAATTATCTCAATGAATATTTTAATCGATTTAACTGTAATATCGATGAATGTATACTATGATAATACATAAATGCATTTTTTTTAACAATACATTCATGCGCTTAATAGTTTAAATGATGATTATATAGAAAGTCATTATATATACACTCTGTGATATTGTTTAAATGAATGAATTAAATCTAGAAATATATTAATATACTAATAGTTTTAATGTAACGTTGTATATAATTGTGATATATATATAATAGTATTGGAATAATGGTGTCTCGTAGGTCAACACTGGATACACGGTAGTCCAGTGGTAGAACGCCGGACTCGTGACCGAAGGGTTCAAGGTTCGACTCACGGCACTGTGTTGTATCTTTTAGCAATATACTTTACTCCGCTTGTTCCAGTTTACTCAGCTGTAAATGAGTATGTGGTTGGGCAGTGCTTGAATTGCTGAACGCTAGCTGTGAGCGCCGAAAAGGCAGCACCGGCTGTATGCTCCCCAGGGAGTTGAGAAAGATATTGTCTGGTTGCAAAGGCCCTTTAACAACGGATAATACTTTGTGAACCGCTTTGAGACGACCTACATAAGAACCTCGAATTAATATCATTATTATTAACACTGGCCAGACATTTCCTATGCATAGTTCTTAAACATTGTAAAAAGTGTTTTTTTTTAAACATGCATGTATTGAAATGTGTGACTCGTTAATACAATATTTATTATTATTTCTATTATTATTATGTATGTAAAAATATACCTCCCAACAAACTGCTTACTGTATTGTAATAGCTTAAAATTTTTGACAATGGGATGTGAGGGTTCTACAAGCCTAATGGTAACGTAGTATGAAGGAATTTCTATTGTAACCAAACTGTTAACTGTGATATAAAACTATAACAATCCCAAAGCACTGCTTCGTATGTTATGAGTGTATTACAGTTCTTAACAACTTTTTAGTATATTATGAGTGTATTACAATTCTTAACAACTGTGTGGTATATTATGTGTGTATTACAATCCTTAACAACTGTGTGGTGTATTATGTGTGTCTTACCATCCCTAACAGCTGTGTGGTGGATTATGTGTGTATTACAATCCGTAACAGCTGTGTGGTGTATTATTTGTGTATTACAATCCCTAACAACTGTTTGATATTTATGAGGGTATTACAATCCTTAACAACTGTTTGATATTTTTGAGTGTATTACAATCCTTAACAAATGTTTGATATTTATGAGTGTATTACAATCCTTAATAACTGTGTGGTGTATTATGTGCGTATTACAATCCTTTACTAACTGTTTAGTGTATTATGAGTGTATTACAATTCTTAACAACTGTTTAGTATATTATGTGTGTATTACAATCCCTAACACCTGTTTGATATTTATGAGTGTATTACAATTATTAACATCTGTGTGGTGTATTATGTGGTAACGTAGTATGAAGGAATTTCTATTGTAACCAAACTGTTAACTGTGATATAAAACTATAACAATCCCAAAGCACTGCTTCGTATGTTATGAGTGTATTACAGTTCTTAACAACTTTTTAGTATATTATGCGTGTATTACAATTCTTAACACCTGCGTGGTATATTATGTGTGTATTACAATCTCTAACAGCTGTGTGGTGTATTATGTCTGTATTACAATCTCTAACAGCAGTGTGGTGTATTATGTGTGTATTCCAATCCTTTACTAACTGTTTAGTGTATTATGAGTGTATTACAATTCTTAACAACTGTGTGGCATATTATGTGTGTATTACAATCTCTAACAGCTGTGTGGTGTATTATGAGTGGATTACAATCCTTAACAACTGTTTGATATTTTATGAGTGTATTACAATCCTTTACTAACTGTTTAGTGTATTATGAGTGTATTACAATCCTTACCAGCTGTGTGGTGTATTATGTGTTTATTACAATCCCTAACAGCTGTGTGGGGTATTATGTGTGTATTACAGTCCCTAACAGCTGTGTGGTGTATTATTTGTGTATTACAATCCCTAACAGTTGTGTGGTGTATTATGTGTGTTTTACAATCCCTAACAGCTGTGTGGGGTATTATGTGTGTATTACAATCTCTAACAGCTGTGTGGTGGATTATGTGTGTATTACAATCCTTTACTAACTGTTTAGTGTATTATGAGTGTATTACAATTCTTAACAACTGTGTGGCATATTATGTGTGTATTACAATCCGTAACAGCTGTGTGGTGTATTATTTGTGTATTACAATCCCTAACAGTTGTGTGGTGTATTATGTGTGTCTTACCATCCCTAACAGCTGTGTGGTGTATGATGTGTGTATTACAATCTCTAACAGCAGTGTGGTGTATTATGTGTGTATTGCAATCCCTAACAGCTGTGTGGTGCATTATGTGTGTATTACAATCTCTAACAGCAGTGTGGTGTATTATGTGTGTATTGCAATCCCTAACAGCTGTGTGGTGTATTATGTGTGTATTACAATCCCTAACAACTGTTTGATATTTATGAGTGTATTACAATCATTAACATCTGTGTGGTGTATTATGAGTGTATTACAATCCTTAACAACTGTTTGATATTTATGAGTGTATTACAATCCTTAACAACTGTTTGATATTTTATGAGGGTATTACAATCCTTAACAACTGTTTGATATTTATGAGTGTATTACAATCCTTAACAACTGTTTGATATTTTATGAGTGTATTACAATCCTTAACAGCTGTGTGGTGTATTATGAGTGTATTACAATCCTTAACAACTGTGTGGTGTATTATGAGTGTATTACAATCCCCAACATTTGTTTACTGTAATATAACACTGTTATAATCGTTTACAGACAGCATGTTTTTCTCATGGAAACATATGCTTTTCATGATAAAATATGAACTCAATGGGAGAAAAAGGTACCAAAATTTGTAATGAATGGTTATCATGTCTATCGAACTCCCATACGTTAATTTTCAAATAGTAAGGGAGAAAAGGTAAACATTGTGTATATATACAATTTGAAAATTAACTAAATAAATTATCATTCATTGGGACACCTCTGTCTAACACAAGATAAGGCAGCTTCTGTGAAACCCTTAAATCGCATTGATATATATATATATATATGACGTTGGTAGCATGAATTGTACTTTTTGTGCCTCAAAACGGCTTATGCCTGACAAGATAGGGCGCTATATAAAAATGTTGTTTATTTATCATTAGAATGGTAAAGACGTTTATATTTTATGCCTGTAATTTTTAGCTTAGTGCAAACATATTTATTTGGAGTGAAATGTAGATGTTATATGGTATGCTTACAGGAAGATAGTACCCTCCCTACAGCTATCCTTGCTATCCGGCAAAATATACTTGACGTAGCAAAACATTGTCACTATCAAATACCAGGGACGTATAGTGACCTATATACTGTCCCTGCAAATACCAATTGGATATTTGTTCAACGATTTATCATGATCAACGATTGTTTTTTTTCTTGTAGTTTGATATTAATATACAATTTCATTTTGGGTAAGTATTGGCTCATTGATATATTTACTTGTATTCTAATATCAACATACATATTAATTTTCTTGTATTTAGATTTTGACACATTAATTGTTGTTCTGCTCGTTTGATGGACATTGACGTTATTTGTATGTTCTCTCTGACAAACCAATACTATTTTGTGTTTCGTTATAAAATAAGAAACTTACGTCACACTTCTATAACTTTTAATACAAAAACAAATACCTTATCCTCACCAATAGGCCAATCATACAATAATACACATATACCTTATTTCACTATTGACAAAGACCCGGATGACACTTTCCGTAAAGTGGTCCAGTGTTGTAAACACTATCATATCGTGTGGCGTTAGTAAACTGGCTCTTAATATCGATAATTATTAACTATTTTCCGATCTATATTTGAATTTGAGCAAGTAAGACTTTAGGCTCTTGACTATAAATATTAGACTTTCTACAGTCCATGGACAAACATGTAGTCATATTGACTAGAACATATTCTACAGTGTGGAATAGAATTCCGAAGAGATTTGGCTCTTGATGTCTTTGTTTCGAAAAGTTCATCATGTCGGTTAGTAATACTTTTAACAACCAGACGCCATCTGTTGCGTTTTCGCCGAGACCTTGGTTCCATTATGATCAGAACACGGCGGTGTATTGGCACGCGCGCAAAGTTAATTTTCACAGCTGGGTGTTTACACTTGCTTAATGCATGTTTTCCAAAATAATTTTCCGGTTTCTTCTACAAAACATGAACAATTACATTGTAGGCACTTACTGTGAGTTTTTATTTTCCAGAATAAACAAATTATTTCGATATTATAAGTTATGAGATACTTGGCAAAGCCAGAGAGTATGTTCTGTGTTTATTCAGAACAGACCAGTATCCTGGCCCGTTTATATTTGTGACATGATCGAATCCAGCAGGGCTCAATCACTTCAAGTCAGAAAATTATAAGCTTCAAATTAAAATAACCTAAATTCATAGTCAATTGTATTTTCGTAAACATGTGATTACTTGATGAAATAAAAGTATCACCAAAAGAACGAACATTCAAAAATACTTTGATTTTATAAAACGATTGTATAACGATCAAGTGTTTTATATAATGACGAGTCAAGATAACAAGGCTTTAGATAACTTAGGTTGTGTTTGTATTGCTTTGTTAGCTTGACGAGATATGAACCAACACTTTTTAAAGTAATTTCCGTGGTATCCAACACAAAAATAAAAAGTGTTGTGATATTGGTGATTCTATAAGCATATTAACACATAGAGCACTCAACAAAATGTTACACAATCACTTTAATAATGATAAATACGTTACCAACTGATAGTTTACTTCAGTGCATAAAGTTGATAAGAAGTTTGGTAACAGAATCCAGGCCGACTAATCAGCTGTAGTGCAGCGTTGGTGAACACAAGTCACATGATCCTATCTCAAAACCTGACATTTTCCTGGTTCATTTTCTAAAAATGCAGAAGCATTACCAGACCATTTTGTTTTTGGTTTTTCATTCTAGTTTAAATTGCTTAATTGTAACAAATCAATCATTTCTTTTTAATTGTGGACAATGAAAAGACAGCGTTAAGTACCGGTTCGTCAATGAAGTGAACTGCTAGATAAAAGGGAGGAGAGGGAGTACCTCATGACAGGATCAACGATACACACAATACATGTTGCTAGTTGAAGTTCTGATTTTGCGCTTAATCATACTTACACCATGATTCCAACCGAGTTCACGATACACAGCTTGCCATGGAGATTTTTGTTGGATTAGTTGTCGTGTTGTGTCTCCATTCTGGGATATATGGCGACAAGAACGGTAAGTTTGTCCAGAGACCTAACCAACGACGTGTTACAGGTCACGCCATATTTATGTCCATTCTTAATATATGTTTTCATACCTTTTCATATCTTTTCATTGGTTAACAATTGATTTGAAAGTCATTGCCTGGCTCTAACAGAATTTCAGCAAACGACGAGACATAATATCAAACTTTGCTTCCTGTTGTTCTGTTGAGGAGTACCGGGTATTTTTGATAGTTAGTTTGGTTGTATAGGTTAAACGTCGTATCAACCGCTATGTTAATTTAAGGACGTGTGTTTTTGATAGATGTGCTCCGATGTCTTGCTCCATTTTGCATTAGAGTCTATCATCATTCCTATATCATATTTCAAAATTTCAAACTTATATTAAGAAAGGCTAGCGGTGATACCAGTTTATGACTGTTACCAATTTGTGATCATAATTTGTCAAAAACATTTTCTTGGGAGGAAAATGTGACAAAAGTTGAGTTCCTGGTAGAAAATATCGTTGTTGAGTTCGGCGGCAAGGTTTTCCTGCAAATTGTTGGCATTGCTATAATAGGACCAACTTGTGTCCCTGTTTTCATACGATTTTAAGAGCTTATCAGAACTGATAACGAAAGCCTTGCTTATTCCTCCACTTTTAGTGAAGATATATCGACGTTTTCTTGTCATTAAATATCAAGATCAATAAATCTTACCATAGATCTTTACAAGAAGTGACGGATCGTTGATGAGCGAGATCGATGATGGGCGAGATCGATGATGGCGAGATCAATGATGGCGAGATCGATGATGGCGAGATCGATGATGGCGAGACCGATGATCGGCGAGATCGAGGATGGGCGAGATCGATGATGGCGAGATCGATGATGGGCGATATCGATGATGGGCGAGTTTTATGTTTACCATCATGATATCATTGGGAAATATTCTATTTCTACGGGTGTTATGAAGATAGATAATTTTGATTTTAATCGTTAAGCAGTGTGCTTTGTGGTCTCGTTCTCACTATCCTAGCTCCTAACGTTGAGAACGTGAAATATCTTTGATTTGACATAGATTTGGATTACATGTGTCGTCATTGGAACAGAAAATATTGTCCTAGCCGACGCACCTGGTCTTATTTTCCGCTTACTTTTTAATGGTATTTATGTAAATATTTTCATATTTTTTCTATTAATTTATTTGGAGTTCGTTTTACTGCTTTATTAATAAAATCAGTATCTTTACACAATTTATAGTGTGCGATTCTTTACACTAGCCACACAGCAAGCCATACTCATTATACAAAAAGCAAATGACAACCAGTAATACCAGTGTGATTCACAAAACGACATAAAGAACAAACATGTATACACTACATGTCACTACACACTGACCTAAAATACATGTAGTCATTGTGCAATATCCAATAGTGATTCTATGACTATCGCAGGAGGGGGGCAAAAACCGCCTTGCCCTTGCATACATCAAGTAAGTAAACAAAATCCAATCATGATAAATGACTCTCCGAAGATTAAATATGAGTATATTTAAATATCCCCAATGCTTGGTGGAGATGAGGGGATGGAGGCGGGATAAAAAATGATCGAAACTTCTTACCTTTGGCCTCTGACAAAATTTGTTCAAGTGACGCTATCGCCTGTCACGTGACATGTGTTCTTGCCTGTAAAGCAGTAAACCGGTCACGGTATGTTTTA